AGTAGAACTGTTTCAGCAGCTCCTGTGGCAGGTTGAATTTCCTCAGCTGGCGAAGGAAGGACAGTTTTTAGTTTTTAGTTTTAGTTTTTGTAGTTTTTAACAGTGGAGTCAATGTGAGTGTCCCACTTCAGGTCCTGAGAGATGGTGGTGGGGGAGAGGGGGGTTGCAGGAGGTGTTGATGGTTGTGTGGAGAGATGTTCAGAGCGGGGGTGGGGTGTTAGACTGGGAGTTTCAAATCTACATTAAAACTCATTCAGGTCTTCAGCAAGTTGTTGATTGGCCTCAGTGCTGGGGCATGGTGTCTTGTAGTTGGTGATGTCCTTCAGGCCTTTCCACACTGATGCAGGCTCATTCGCAGAAAACTGGTGTTCTAGTTTTTTAGCGTATGTGAAAATGTATATCACATACATTTTTAATATATGTGATATACTGGCAGGATGATTGTGTAGCACAGTGCCTGTTCGTGGTGATTGCACTTCTGAAGTAAAGTCACAGCAGGTTTATGAAGAGAGGTTTGGATAAAGGACTGCTGAGAGTGCATTCAGAAGCGTCTGCTGCTCTTTCTGAGAGTGTTTATGGAGTGCAGAGGGATTTTCACCTCTGTTTCTGCTTTCTTCAGAAATGGAAAGTGAGGTCGCTCTCTCTCAGCGCATGAGTGCTTCACGCTGTATCTCCAGCTCACAGCTTGAGTCTCCACTTCTTTCAGCTTAAAAAACGATTCTTACAAGAGATGCAATCAGGATTCTATCCAGCTGTCCTCATGCACAAGAACATGATCAACTACAGCGCTGTGTATTTCATCAGGAATAAATGTGCTTTGACCCCGTCCCCTTCAGTTTTCTTTTCCACTCCTCTTCCTCTTTGTCTCCCACTAGTAGGATTCATTTTCAAAATCACATAATCACCTGTGCTCCTTTTTATATCATCCTGAGATTCTGACTGCTGTGTGTCATCAGTTTTGCTACTGAATGTTCACACATGGATAAATGTGTGCTGTTTGAGTTTATATTGTGATTCTTGAGGTAGTTATATTGTGTGTTTTCTAAATGAGAACATGGTTAAACTTGTGCAAAATGATGCCGTTCTTGTGTAGAGCTGAGCTGAAAACACTGAGCAAATTGGAGCGTGTGTGAAAACAGGTGAAATGTGTTAAAAGT